CCAAAAGCATTCAAAGTGGTTGAGAGTATTAGGTTATTTAAATTAGCGTTTTCAGTATATTCAGGGTATATAATGGTTGGCCGAAATATCATACTTTGATAACTATATTCATATATTGGATATTTGGGACTATTGAATTTACAAATGTCATATTGATTGGTATTAATAAAGCCATCTGCCAAGGGAGGGGAGTTTTTTATTCTCCAATAAGGTGTTGTAAGGTTACAAGTGTTAATAAAAGCTATTTTCTGGATCATATTCGTATTAAATGCCCTGTATTTTATTATTTGTTTTTCAGCTAAATACTGTCTCCGTATATTTAATGGCGGTTCTTGTATTTCTGCAAGCACTGCTTGGTTAGGCGATGACATCATTAGACCCATACAAATTTTTAATGCTTTGTATTGTATACGATCGATAGTTATTAGATTCGTTTTAGATGTTGCCCCATATAATGTACAGCCATAGTCCAATATGGAACGAATATATGCTTTGTAAAATGTATACGATACAGTAACATCAGCCCCCCATTTTTTCTTGGAAACCACTTTTAGCAGATTTATGGCTTTTTCGCATCTTTTTTTAATATATTTTATGTGGTTAGTCCAAAGCAATTTTTTATCTAATACTATACCTAGGTACTTATATTCGTCTACGAATGGAATCGTAAACCCATCTAGACAAGCAGCTCTAGCAGTTTTAACTCGGTGACGAGTAAAACATACCAAGGCCGTCTTATCCTGAGAAACGCTAAAACCCATGTCCCTAAACCATTCTATTAATAAATGAATACATTCTTTCAAGTCATCTAAGCATTTCCCATATGAACCATGGCTGAAGTAAAAACATAAATCATCCGCGTATTGTATCATGTTGAACTTGTCACCTACTAACTTATGCAGATCTGCAGTGTAAATATTAAATAAAATTGGACTCAATACAGACCCTTGAGGTAACCCGTTACATACTGTGTGAGGACCATGTAATACGTTATTATGATCCCGAATAAATATTTTTCTATTATGAAAGAGACTTATAATATTGACACATACGGTTTTATTAATTCCAATTGTTTCCATTTTTTTTGCTAAAATATTTAGATCAACTACATCATAGGCCCCTGATAGGTCTATAAATAAACATAATGTATATAGGTTTCTGGATAAACTTATTTGTATATCTGAAACTAAATGACTAACAGCATCGATAGTTCCTCGTCCTCTCCGAAAACCATATTGAATGCTTGGTAATAGGGATCTATATTCAACAAAATGTTCTAATCTAAACTTAATTAATCTTTCGAATGTTTTGGTGACACATGATATTAACGAGATTGGACGGTATGAAGATGTAATTTGTGGATCTTTATAAGGTTTAAGTTTAAGGCAAATTATAATATTTTTAAAGCAGTCTGAATATTTTTGTTTCCTCCACCAGTCATTAAATAACTGCAAAAGAAAAAGTTTAGCAGAGTATGGTAAATTATAAATTATTTTATAGGTAAAGCCATCTATCCCGGGAGCAGTATTCCGACTATTTTTAATCGCTAAATCCAGTTCGTTCATTGTGAAAGAAGAAGATAATTCATCTTCGTGATTAAATGGAAATTGGTTAAATGGTTTTACTACAAAATTAGAAGCAGAAGGAGGACCTATTTTGTTTAGAATTTGATCTATTAATTTTTTTGAAAGGGGTTTTTTGGGACAAAGAAAATTTTTGTTATTTACAGCTTTAACAAACTTCCAAATTTCGGTCAGTGGTGTATTTTTGTTGAGCTTATTTAGAAAATTAATCCAGCTACATCGTTGTTTGTTTTTAAATAAACGTTTAGTTTGGGCAGCTACGTTTTGATATACTAAATAATTATTATGGTTGGATTGATTTCTATAATTTTTTAAGGCCATTTTCCGTTTTTCTACCATCTTACTACATTCCTGATCCCACCAAACTGGTCTAGGAGAAATGGGAGTAAAAGATTTTTTAACAGGCATCGACCGATTCGCAGCAGTGGAAACCTTCCTGAAAAATGCTGCTGCATCATATACGTTATTTTCAGTAAGTAACTCAGTAACATCTTTATCCAAGAGTATTCGAAACAATTCCCAATCCGCAAATGTGTCATTCCATTTAGTAGAGGGATTTATTAAAAAAGGTGAAGGATTAATTTGGATGTCAATAACTATTGGGTAGTGGTCTGATCCCATTGTATCATCCAAGACGGTCCAAGTTAATTTATCAACTAAAAAATGGGAACTTAATGTTATGTCCACCGCTGAATGATTTCCACTAGAGTTAATTCTAGTGGGAGTACCATCATTTATTACAACAAGGTCTAGATCATCTATTGCGTCTGCTAAAATTTTTCCATGTCGATCATCAGGTATAGGTCCCCAACTATCATGGTGGGCGTTAAAGTCTCCACAAAAAAGAGTATTGGACTTGAACTGCTGAAATAATTCTATCCAATCGGTGAATTTGACAACCACGTCGGGTGGTCGGTAAATAGATACTATTGACAAGTTTATACCAGATAAAGTAATTGCGCAAACTTCTAGCTTTTTGTTTGACGATTGCATGATATTAACCTCTTTAAACGCTAACCATTCAGCTATAAAAATGCCTACCCCTCCAAAACCATCAACTCTACATTTTTTAACTAAATTGAACCCTCTCAAAAAAAAGTTTTCGTCAGGTTTAAGCCATAATTCTGATAAAACAATAATGTCAATTTGTGAACTGTGAATAAAATTAATTAAACTTGCTTTATTTGCTTTTAATGATCTAATGTTCCACTGCAAAATACATAGTTTTTCTTTTGTAATTTTGTGGTTAGGAGTCGGGAAGATTAATAATATTCGGATTCAGACCCACTAATGTTAAAGTCCATTCCATCATTGGGATTATCGGAATCAAACATATTATTAACAAATTCTCTTATATCTGAATCTGCAAAAGTAACCGAGCTAGACGGAAAATGTTTTTGAAGTTGTTTAACGAATGTAGATAATATAAGAATTGACTTTTCTTTATAGTTCATATATTCGTCTCTATAAGGATTAGGAAGAACAGTATTAGAATTCAATGTTAATTTAGTAGGAGTTTTTTTTATTGGTGAAATTTCTGTGGTGGGAGATAGAGGGGAAGGTTTTCGTTTTTTTGAAGTAGGCATAATTGTTTTGATAGAGGGTTTCCTTAAGACTGCTGAGGAAGGTTGAGAAGATTTTTGCTTAACATCTGGTAATGGTGGAAAGTTATTAATATTATTTAATATTGAGAACTTGTTATTCGTAATAATTTTTGAATAAGAAGGATTTATATACATATTTTCGGCTTCTTTAAAGGAAATATTTTCCTGGGCCATAATCTGCTTTATTTGTTTTTGTTTTGTGAATACAGGGCATTTTCGCGAGATTGAAGTGTGTTCATTACTTTTACAGTATATGCAAACATTTTCTAATTGACATTCGTCTTCCAGATGATCCAAACTAGTGCATTTTTTACATCTGCTATCTTTAGATTTGCATTGTCTGGCCGAATGACCATAACGCAAACACTTAAAGCATTGTACAACTGGTTGTATATATGGCTCTACTTGGAAATTGCAGAGATTAATTTGAATGTTTTGTGGAATTTCATTCCCCAGAAATTGTACTATAACCATCTGCCTGTTAACTAAACAGGGATTTCCATCGGAATCTATTATTTTTCTTTTCATTCTTTGAACACTTACTACTTTTTTATTGGAAATAATGGCATTTAGTAAGTATTCTTCGGAAAAAAAAGTATCGACCATTCTTATGATACCCTTTTTGTGGGTGTAGAATTTAGGGATATATGCGATTAGATTATTTTGTTTGATTACATAATGATTAACTAGAGAATTAGCCGATTCCAAAGTTTTAAATATAACTTTTACCCGGTTAATTCCTACTGATTTTATATCCTCTACTTCTTTACTTAATGTTTCATCAGGGAGTAGGTAGTGCCCAATTTTAATTGGGAAAAGTTTACCAATATTTTTTTCTTTATGTTCCACAAACACGAAATAAGGACCTTTATCGCCTGGTCTATAGCGATTTTCTAGATCAATAATATTATTAAAATCATCTTTCTTTCCCTTTTCACTATTATTCATACATTGATTTAAATCGGGCGGTTCCCCGCCCGTATTTTCCCCCATGGTTTAATTAATTTTAGATGTTTTTATCTACAGCTTCTATATATAAAATATTTCAAATTTTATCAATTAATCAAAATAAAATATGTAATTAGTCAAACCAAAACAAAACTTTGAAAAATTAACGAGGTTCAAATATCAATTAAAATATAATTATAACAGGTAATATACTTATCTTAACAAAAAGTAAAAATACCAGCACTCGAATACGTCCGCTCACTAGGCTTATCAAATTCGAACTGTATCTTCAAGATCTTTTTCACATTTGCGTCTAATTCTGTTGTGAAGTATTCTGAGGAAAATTTTAAGAGTGTGGCTCATTTGGCTAATTAATCGATATTCTGAGCATTTTCTCGCAGTATGTTTTTTAGGTATTGCGACACAGAGGAATTTGAGCCAATATGCCAATCAACCAGTTGCATAGTTTTAACTTCGTGAAATAAGTAGAAGTAGTGTACCAAAAAGACCTGACGAGAAACACATTAGACAAGACATTGTAAAGAAGATTTTCATTGATGAGGTCAAAGATAGACATTATTAATTAAAATGAGCAACATGACTAAGCTTTTATGGTATTTTAAAATATTAAAACGAGTGTAGTTATATGATTTTCTTATTAATTATCTATTTGACCTGTACATATCTTTATACAGAAGTATATGCACTATGTAATCTACGAAAGTTAGCAGATATATAATACTACATGGCTTATAGTATAACTAAATCTTTGATTTACGACATATGGCATTATAATTTAGACAACAGTCTAATGAAAGATCCTTTAAATATCTTTTATTGTTTTGGTTCAAAATCTTTAGCTCACCTGCAACAAAATCTCCAAATCCAATTGTGGTTAATGTAACAAAAGCATAATAGACAGATACGTCGTAGTTCCAATTTTCAAAAAAACTCATTATCGTGGCTGGCAGAAAAATGAAGAAAGTTAAACCTGGGACGGCGTATAGAATGATTTGACCTATAAGGCCCAATTTGGCCGTATTCTTTTCCAGGCGTACCTTCTTCCATCTGTCGTACAATTTTGTGAACTGAAACAAAAGTCTATATAATTAAGGTGATAATACAAATATAACGAGAAATGTAGTCCAAAAACTTTACGAACGATTGTCTGATATATTTTACTAAGCCTAATGACCGATATGCTACTGCTTTATGTCGGTTTTCAACGTTTTCCGCCGTTTTTCGACTTCCAATCGATATTTTGTTTGATCATTCTTGGTTTACTTAGTGTTGTAGTTTCGCAACTGTATATAAACATTGTTAAACCATTAAGAGACTTTTTGCTAATTTTGATTCTCCCCGTATAGTTAGTCAAGATTTGGCGAACAAAAACACAAAAGCTATCTAATTTTTGCAAACAAAAGACTACTGTTTCATACATTGTTGTTAACAACGAATCACAGAAATATTAGTCGATTTTGTTCAAATTTCAAAATAACATTTTTCGAACTAACCGCCATTTTTGCAGTCATTAAAGAGAATCGCTCAATTGGCCAAGCAAGTAGTCGTATCTTAGATAGAGGTGGAGACCGGATAAGTACAACCTAAAAAATTTGATACCAAAACTATTTGCCGCTATATCAAATACCGCTTACTGGTATACCCATTTTGTTAATGTTATAGTAAAATTCGTTTATTTGCTAAAAATTCTTGTTTTTCTGTGCTGAACTCCTTTGAATCTTGTGTCGCGAATTTTGAACAAGCCAACCAATATAATATTGGTCAAAATTATCCTATTGTTTTACTATATTTATGTAGCAATCAGCTGTTAAAGTCTTTGATCTATCCTTCTGTAGACAAGCGGTTTAGTTTGTGTGATAGAGATACCCAATAGATGGTGTCATAATATTAGGTTTTTAATAACAGCAGTGTTTCTATGCTAATTTGTTCATCTTGTGTAAAGCAATATGAGTTATAAATAAGTATTGATTTATTGTTATCTTCATCAGGAATATTTTAATTTGTGAATATTAGGGATTTGTATATTCTTCTATTCTTCTTCTTCGCGTGCCATATCAGACTTGTCCGACGTTGGCAATCACTATTGCGAAGGCCTCTCGATCTTCTGCAATATGGAATATTTGTTCTGTATTTGGTATCTGAGTCCATTCACGAATGTTTTTTAACCAAGAAACTTGTTTTCTTCCTACATCTCTACAGCCCTCTATTTTGCCTTTAAGGATCATTTCTAAAATTTTATATCGACTTCCCCTTACTATATATCCCAAATAAGACAGTTTTAGATGTTTAACAGTCTTTAGCAGTTCTCTGTCTTTGTTGACGCTCCTTAGTACTTCTTCATTAGTTTTTCTTGGTGTCCAAGGTATTTTCAGCATTCGTCTATGAACCCACATTTCTAATACTTCAATTTTGTGCATGTTCGATACTTTTAGCGTCCACACTTCTGCATTATATAAAAGTATAGACCAAACATAGCACTTAACCATTCTTTGCCTAAGTTCTAAACTGAGATGGTTATTCCAAAGAAATGACTTCATTGTCATTAAAGTAGTTTTAGTCATTGCTATTCTACGTTTTATTTCTATGTTTGGATTTAGTTGGTCCGTTATCACAGTTCCCAAATATGTCAGTTCCTCGTTGATTTTTATTCCATATGGTTGTCTCTCAAGTGCCTTTTTAAATAACTGGTCCGAGTAAACATTGAACAATTTTGGCGATAAAATGCTACCTTATCTGACTCCTCGTTGTATAGTGATTTCATCGGTGTAGTTATATCCAATATTCTTACGATAGCAGTTTGATTCCAGTACACATTTTTAATGACACGAATATCCTTGTCATCTATTCTGATATATTTCAGTATTTGCATTAATTTTACATGCTGTACTTTATCGAATATGTATATTTTCTTATTCAATTCAAATTATATTCTTCTATATGTATATATAATTTTTTTATCGATATACTTTTTAGAGTTTCATGTAGTCCTCTTGTTTTTGTTTTTTTTTTGGTAATACGAATACCCATGCTGCTTTAGTTCTGTTGGTCTGAATTGCTGTATAGAGGTCCTAACACCTACTTTTTTTTCCTTCTGGTTGAAATATTCTTATTTCCTTTGTTTGTTTAAGTTATTTTTTGATAAGTCATCTGCGATCGTTTATTTGATTCTTATTATTTTTCTAATGCGTTTGTTTTAATTCATTATTTATCTAGATCTTCCTGCCGATTTTCTCCAAAAATCCATTTCTCTTATTTTCGATGCCAATGCAGTGGTCTAAGAAAATAGTGTTGAACATTTTAATAGCTTTTCTACCTGCCGTATAGCTTTTTTCTTTTATAGTTTTGTCTAATATTTCATCGTGCGAAATATTCATACCTAGATATTTGTAGTCAGAGCAGTCAAATCGTGGTTTTGTCGTCTAATACGAGATCTTTTTATTGCCCTCCAATGCACAAGTATTTGGTTTTCTTATTATTGACATCTGGATCCCATATATTATATCGTATTGTTATTAATTTTTAGGCGATATAGTTTATATCTTTATAAACTTAAGCAAATAGTTTTATCCCTGGACCCTCTTGATCCAAAAGATGTCCGTTATTACTGAAGCTAAAGCTTGTTAAGTTTGCTGCCTACTGTTGTTTCCTACATCCAGTTTAGAACTTTTGTACCCTGTAGAAGTTTGTATCCGTCTTTTGCTTAATGTGTCCTACATATACCAGAGTCTCCTCTTGTTTGCCGATACAGTTATTGTCTTTTACGTTCCAGAGCCTTGCAATCGCATACTACATCTTACAGTTTCTACTTCTAACATATGTAGTTAGGCTCTCTATTGTAAATGCTTATTTTATTTAGGAATTCTCTTACTAGTGCACATCTGATCAACATTCCTGTTACTGTTCTCAGTTTGTTCATGCCCTTATAAAGCAGTTTCTCTATTATTCTTTTACATGGTCCACCAATTAAGAGTTTTCCAGGTGTTTGTTTTGAGATTATCTCTCAGTATAGCTCATGACTCTCTCTGATCCAGTCCTTTACAGCCCTATGAACTGCAGTCTTTCAGCCGGTTCATTTGATTAATTCTTTAAGATCTCAATTGTAAATGCTTATTTTATTTAGGAATTCTTTTACTGGTGCACACCTGGTCAACATTCCTGTTATTGTTCTTAGTGTGTCCATGCCGATATAAAGCAGTTTCTCTGTTCTTCTTTTACTTGGTTACCAATTTAAGATTTTTCCATGTAAAACCGTAAAATAGTTTCGAAACACAATTCAGATTTCCGCTTTAATCTGTGCTTTCTAAAAATTGCAAAGCAAAACAGACGTTGATGAAGGTGTTAATTGTGTTATTTTACGGTTTTATTATCAGATGTCGCTATTGCGTCCGTATCGAAGCCATTTTAGTGTTGCTGTTTAAAACACAGAAAATATTGATCTTTCACGTTGAGAACACCTTTGAATAACTGTTCTGATGAGACCTATTAGGTCGAAATACGTATCAACAGATACAAGGGCACTGTTTGCGTGAAATCAAATATTTGCTGTCTTTTCACATTTTTCCCTGTGTTTATTTTGGGATTCTCTCTCAATATAGCTCTTGACTGTCTTTGATCCAGTCCTCTACAGTCCTATGAACTGCAGCCTTTTAGCCGGTTTATTAGCCGGATTAGTTCAATCCTCTTTACAAATTGATCTGTTACTTCGTTGCTTTCGATGCCCCGATATCCTGGTACCCAGATAAGGTAAACACCAGCCTGGACGTCACTTCCTGATACGCCAGTGCCTTCATTGCCGCTCGGTTGTCAGATAATACATGGATCTGATCGTTTTTAAAAGGTCTCTCATTATTTCCTATTGTACATTGCAATATCACATAAATCTTCGTATGAAAAACATTGCAGTTCCTTTTCAAGGCAAAGTTTTCGCTAATTCTTGTATTATTGGATGCGGCTTTGATGAATTGAGACGCCGAATATATAAAAATAAACGGCGAAAGAAGCATAGTTCGTCAAACTTGCCATGTATGAATTGGTACCAATAGACTGTTATAACTTTTATTCTATATGCTTGACGTTTTCGGACAGTCGGGTAATTGGGTAAACTTATATGCAAAAAGCCAGTGAATGTGTCCTGTTATTTCCACTGGTCCCGTGTAAGCTGCAAAAAGCGCCATCTATTTTGGTAGCCTTGAACGAAAACGACTGTCGTTTTCTGTATTGTTGAGCTGTACGAAATGTGTAAAACATTACAAATTTCAGCAAGACCTTTGCTATGGCGTTGATGAATTAAGACGCAGAATATATGTAAGTAAATGGAGAGACGAGCAAAATTCGTCAAACTTTCCGTGCATGAAGTGTTATTATTGGACTACTAAAACGTTATTTCTGTATGCCCTACGTATTCAGACAGTCGGGTAGAAACAAACTTATACACGAAAATGCAATATATATATATATATATATATATATATATATATATATATATATATATATATATATATATATATATATGATGAATAAACAACTGACCAAGAAATAGTTTAATACTTCGTGTATTACCTCGTAAATAGATACTCATCTTTCTATTCCAAAAAATATATTTGAATAGGATTTAATTTAATTTATTATGACCTCTAGCCTACGTAAAGAGTAAGCTTATAAAAATGCTGACCTCATACAAGCAATGTATATAATAATGTCACATTAACATCCGCATGCATAAATAATTTATGGCGATTTACCCGCCGCCAGTCAATGTTGTAAAAGCTTTAGAAGAAATTTCTGGTAGAATATAAAACAGGGTTTCTTAAGTCGTGAGTTATTACCTTCGTGTTACAACATATTATTATGTAGAGATTATAAAAATAAATAATTACCTTCTTTATTAAATAGTATCATTGTTTCAATTTTTACATAATTAGAGTAACACAGAGTTCTGTATTTTCGCCGTTCGTATCAGCAAGACGCGAGGTGCAGATTTGATCTGACACAATTTACTATTTTCACTGGTGTTGTCTACATTTTTAAATATTTGACATTGATCTAGGGAAGAGTGGCACTCTTTCCT